AAAAAAAAAAAACGGGCGGCCATCCAGATTTTTTTTTTTTTATTTTTTTACAAACAATTTTTATTTTTTATAGAAATTATGTAAGAATTTAGAAATTGTTATGTTAGAATTTATTATTATTATGTTGGAACTTAGAAATTATTATGTTATAAATTAGAATTGATTATCTTATTGAATTTATTATTATTATTATTGTTGTTGTTGTTGTTGTTGTTATCATTATTATTATTATTATTATTATTATTATTATTATTATTATTATTATTATTATTATTATTATTATTATTATTATGTTAGAAATTAAAAATTATTATATTATAGATTGGAATTGATTATCTTGTAAAATTATTTTTTACATTATTCAAAATTTAGTTAATATTAGAAAATAGATTTTTATTTCTGGAAAAAGTATTATTTTAAAATATAACTATAAATCGTTTTGTTAGTAGAAAATAATTATAAATGTTATATTACTTCTTACAAATAATTAGTATTTTATTACAGATAATTTGTATTATGTTATATAACATAATAACTTATAACTTCTAACATAATAATAGTAAAATTCTATAAGATAGTCAATTATAATTTATAATATAATAATTTCTAGATTTTAACTATAAGATAATAAACTATAATTTATAATATAATAATATATAGATTCAACATAATTTATATAATAAAAAAAATTTGATTATTAAAAAAAAAAATTGCACGGCCTACTGGCAAAACCGACAATCCACAGTGCGGCCAACCGGCAATTGCGGCCGTGCACTGTTACAGTCGGTTTCGCCGGCCATTGTTTTCTTTTTTACTTTTCAGAAAAATTATAGGGGCAAAACTTGCAAAGGGCAGGATGATGAATAGTAACACCCACCAAACATGCATGAATATGCCCAAAAAATTAATATATTACGTGGGAATATACATTGACTTACCAAATGATTATAAAATGACTTAATAATATTTCTAAATCTATCCGAAAAATGTAGGCAGAAAAAAAAATTGCAAATTTTAGTAAAATTGATTGGTCTATTATATTGATTGATATACATATGTACTGCATTTAAACCTCCCAAGTTCATGTGATGCGTGGAAATAAGAGATTTTGATAAAATTTCAAATAAACTTTTATTAGTGAGGTCTTTTTTGGTCTAACAATTTTTAATTCTTCAAATTCGGTTTTGATTCATTTTTTTTTTTTTAAATGTAGGGTAAGAGCATCCTAAATTTGAAGTGGATGAAACATTTTTTGATTCTTTGAATTTGGTTTACACAACTTATTATCAAAGAGAGTATAAAAGCATCTTCAATTCGAAGTGATTATTTTCTTATTTTATTTTATTTTACGAAACGATAGAGATATTATAACATAAAAGGCACAAACGTGCAAAGATACAACCCGTGGTTGAATAAACTGAATCCAAGCTGAGTAAAATGGGAGGACAAGTCTGCGACCGCCTAGAAACCCGACACTAGCAACGCTAGAAACCGAAAAAAGACTCAAGAAGTAACAACACCATAAATCACAAAAACTACAACGAAAAGCTCCCCGCAGGAGAATAGAAAAAAGAGCTACTCCCCACAGGAGAATAAATTTGCTCCCTCTCACACTGAGGCCAACGGCCCAAACCAAAAAAACAGAACAAACACTCAGGTAAAATATCCAGACCCAAAACACAAACCTAACACAGACTCAAACGACCCAAAAACAAAGAAACAAAAAGGGAACAGCCCTTCCCCGACAAGCTAGTAGGCCCAACCAGCAGTGAACGATCAACGCAAATAGGAGTTCCTGCCCGAGCATTCACTACCGAAACTGTGCAACCGCCTATACAGTAGTCGACAACGAGCCCCGAACCATTCCTTGAATCGACCTGTCTCCAACCGAGAGGACACCTAACCAACCCTCACCAGCCCCACCGGAACCCGCTTAACACCACTAGCCGGGCCCGAGAAGACCAGGACCCCCAACCCCCGATGCCTAGCACCACTAGCCAAACGAAGGGGGGTAGATGATACGGTGCCGCCACCCCATCCACCGCAGCAGCCACGGCCTCTCCCATCGACAGACCGCTCATCACCAAATACCACTGCAATCCGGCGCCCAAAACCCAAACCCAGCAGAGCTCCCCATAACAACAATGAACTACCGAAGTGGAAGCCAATCGAATACAAAATCAGAGAGAGAGAGAGCTTACCACCGCCGTTGAAGGTCCGCCAAATGACCGGGAAGCAAGGCCACCAAACTCCGACCAGATCGGACTAAAGGGCACCACCTCGAAGCTCTGCTCCGCCTTCGATTGAGCTCCAGAGTGCAGCTAATTTGAGGTGAACCGAGTCCAGGATGAAAAGAACGGTTTGGGACGACCACAGGCCGAGCCCCACCACCGCCAAGGAAGGCAGAACGACGACAATCGGAGGTTATGCTTTGGGAATTCTGTTTTCGCCGAAAAGTGATTAGTAAATCACTATAATGAAAAACATAAAAAGGTTGACATTAAATTGTTCGTAATAGATTATATAGGCCATTCTTCTCTAATTTCATTTTTCTTTAAAAGTTGTTAAAATACTTATAGTTAATCTTATGTATGGATGACATACTTATACTTTGTCTATATATATATATACTGATGGGTCTTTGGCTGTGCACGCACAGCCGACTCAAATTCAGTCAATAATCAAGTTAAAATTTGGCGTCATTTAAACTTACGCATTGTAGGACCCAATTCAGTCTTTTTGTTTACCATTATTTTTAGAATTTAAGACATCTCGACATAATTTTAAGGGCCTTACATCAACATCATTCAAAATGACCTACTATAAAAAGAAGGATGTATATTAAGGAAACTAAAAGTTGAAGACAGAAGGCGATTATTATACATTAACATCAGATTAGCTACCACTCCAAAAATTGTAAAACATGACCTGAGAAGCTACATTTTTTGAGAGTGGCCAATATTTTCCAGATTATCTGACCAACGTGTTGTAAGTTACCGATTGCATTTGTTGTGTACAAATTATTCTTTTTACCGAGTATCGAATCGAAAGATTCGTTCCCCGGGTCGATCTCACGAGGAAGGCAGTTCGGAATTCAACTTTGGTATTGACAGCACATAAAAGCAAAATAAATTCTAAACATATTAATCAGATACGGATTGGATGAATTATCAGCTAAGAAATAAAGAACAAGCAAGAATATAAATCTACCTAAGAATATGAACGACACACATATGAGAAGCTAGGGAGTCGGGGTTAATTCAAGTTCTAGCAAAACCGGGCAATTCATTGTTCGGTTCGAGATTGACACTCTCGCTTAGACATCTAGCGGTTCGCTCCCAATAACTTTTCGTAACAAGGGATTGAACATAGACGAACAAGTTTGAGCATACAACACATGCAAATTATCCCAATCCCAATAACTTTTTGTAACAAGGGACGGGTCATCGACAAGTGCGTATTTCAATCTAAAACACGTAGATTAGTCAATTACGACATCGTCTACCTCATGTGAGCCTAGGTCTACGACTTCTCCCCTTTCGGTTCAAAAAGTCGCTAATTTAACTAGAAGGTGTTTAATCAACTAATCATATAAAATCGACAAATCCTAACTCGACAAACTAACATTCAATTGTTTCCAACTGCAAGATCGAAGTGTCACTCTTCAATTATATCAATCAATCAAGCTCAAATTCATCAATTCCTAATCAAAATAACTTACATAAGCAAGAACACTTCAAGCCCGACAAATGCACGTTAAACAAGAACAATCAATCCTCTATCCCGAGCACAAAGGATCAGCTACGTAGAACGAATCCAACACACATAATCATTCTTCTCAAATCAACCATTATTCATGAGTTAAATAAGAGAAAGAAATACTTACAATTAATCCAAGTTCGAACATTAAATTCGTAATACAAGCTTAATCCGAAGAAGAAGGAGGAAAAAAAATTGAAGAAAAAGATGAAAGAAAAGTGAAAAATGAAGATGAAGAAGAGAGGGAGAAAGGAAGAGAAGAGATGAGCTTTTTCGTGTTTTCTCGGGCCCGAGGGTTTTCACCCCCGGTTGAGAGTTGTCAAAGAATGATTTTCTTTCCCTAGGATCGATCCCCCTTTTAATTTCCGTTCCTCTCTTGAGTAAAATAACGAAGCCCGAATTTTAGCTTCCCGGCGCCGCGGCGCGACGCCTGCCGTGGCGCGACGCCTGGAAGATCCTTGAGCTTTTGTCGATATCGTGATTCTGGCGCGGCGCGGTAGTGAGGTTTCGCCGCGGCGCGACGCCTGCCGCGGCACGACGCCTGAAATCTGGGGTTCTATCGGGGATGTGGGACTCTCGCAGCGCGGTGCGGTCTTCTTGT